TGTGTTCTAGTCTTGGGTTGTTATCTGATGTTAGTGATTTTCTAACCAGAGGACTCCCTTTATTTATTTCTTGTAATTTTGGTTTGGTTTTTGCAAATTCCCTAAACTTCTATTTATCTGGAAATGCCCTAATTTCACCATCATATTTGAGATACAGTTTTGCTGGATATATAATTTTTGGCTGGCAGTTTTTTTCCTTCAAAGCTTTATATATGTCATCCCATTGCCTTCTTGCTTCCATGGTTTCTGCTGAGTAGTCTGAGTTTATACTTACTGACTCTCCTTTGTAGATGACTTTTCATTTATCCCTAGCTGCTCTTAAAATTCTTTATCTTTGGTTTTGGCAAGTTTGATTATAATATGTCTTGGTGACTTTCTTTTGGGATCTACCTTATGTGGGGTTCGACGAGCATCTTGGATAGATATCTTGTCATCTTTTCATGATATCAGGTAACTTTTCTGCCAACAAATCTTGAACAATTCTCTCTGTATTTTCTGTCCCTTCCTCCCCACTTTCTGGTACTCCAATCGCTCATAGGTTATTCCTCTTGATAGAGTCCCACATAATTCTTAGGGTTTCTTCGTTTTTAAAATCCTTTTATCTGATTTTTCCTCAAATAAGTTGGTGTCAAGTGCTTTATATTCGTTCTCACTAATTCTGACTTCCATTGCCTCAGTGCTACTCCTGTGACTTTCTATTGAGTTGTCTTAATTCTAAATTTTATTGTTAACCCTCTGGATTTCTGATTACTGTCTCTCTATGGATTCTTACAGCCTGCTAAATTTGTCATTATGCTCTTCTCTAATCTTCTTAATTTCCTCTGTTGTGTGTTCTGCGTTTTGATTAATTTCCTTCCTAATATCTTGAAGAGTTCTGTATATTAATCTTTTGTATTCTGCCTCTGTTAATACCAAGAAATTTTCCTCCTCTGGAAAATTTCTAGATTCTTTATTTTGGGAGCTTGCTGAATCCGTCAGGGATTGCCCTTTATGTGATTTGATATTGACTGTTGTCTCCGAGCCATCAGTATGTTATTATATGTATTTGTTTTATGTTTGCTTACTGTGTCCTAGCTTTTTGTTTTGTTTTGATATGCCCAAATAGGCTGCTTGTATGAGCTAGTTTGATTATTGGCACCTTTGAAGCTCTAATTTCCTGTCACCAGGTGGTTAGATCTGTTACTAGGTATGTGAGCTCAGGTGTCCGCCCACTCCTCCTATATGGGTTCAGCTCAGGTTCCCAGGTAGATAGCCATCAAGTGTGTGGTGTAGGCTCTCACTTATAGTCCTAGACAGGCATGGGTGATTGGTGTCGGCACAGGCATCTGGCTGCAGCAGGGGAACACACTCAGAGCAAGGCAGGGCACTGACGGCCACCCCCGAGTGTCCAGGAGGAAGGCATGTCCCTGTTCCCTAGAGCGTGTAGGTGGGTGGGTTTTGTAGCCAGACTATGAGCACCCACTGCTGTTGGCTATAAGGACTGGGGGCACCTCTTATTCATGGGCCCCTCTCGCAGGTGGCTAGGTGGCATGGGTTGAGCCAGCAGTCCGCAGGCCCCTGATGTGGGTAGGTGAAGACCCTGCTTAATGGGCAGAGCAGTGTCAAATGTCAAGAACCTGCCACTTCACAGCTGAAACAGTTGAAGTTAGAGTTCCGGTATACACCCTATTGTACTGTGATAATGAGGGCGTATGCTGTTGAAATGGGCCCACACAATTCTGTGCAGGGGAACAGGCAGTCAAAGTCCATGGATCCCTTATGTGTGTGCCTGGCAAATTAGCTGTGCCTATCCTGTGTTCCTGGCTTAGGGGAGCCGGCAGTTTATTTTTTTCCGTTTGTTAATTTGTTCATCTCCAAGGCAGGGAGAACGGCTCCGGGCATATGACAGATCCTAGTTCTGGCCCAGGGGACTTGGCAGTTGCTGAAGCCGGTCTGGGAGCCAGTGCAGAGCAGGGAGCGGGGAGGTAAATGGGAGAGAGGTTTTTCCCTAAAGGGGGTGTTTTTGATCCACACAGTAGGCCGTATGCAAGTACTTAATCTTTTGCCAATCTAGGGCTGCTTCTCACTGGTTCTGGGTGGCTGTGTAGAGTCTCTGCCACTGAGTCTCTCCTGGTGCAGAAAACATGCCTCCGGATCACCACTGCTTGCCTGCCTCACCGCTCACCCCCGAGCTGATCAGGTCTGAAGGGCTCAGGCTCTCGCCTAGTCAGGTCTGGCAACTCCTCGCTGCTTCTGAACCGTCTCTCCCTCCCCCTGCCACTCAGTCCTGCCTTTAATGTTCAGGGCTCCCAGATTGCCACAGATAATGGATTCACTTGTTGTTTCGGGTCTTTGTTGTAAGAGGGTCCACCAGAAGCATCTGATTACTTTGCCATCTTGGCCCCGCCTCCAAAGTTTATTTCATTCTCAGCCTTTCTAACGGAACCTTTGAAAGCTATACATTTCCCTCATTGTGTTGCTTTAGCTGAATCTTACTCGTGCTTTGTTTTCCACATAAGAGAAGCACATATGATAGAATATGAACAACTACAGTTTTAGCTGGACCTCTGGAATGAGTAGACTCGGGTATGTGGGTGTTTCATGAATGACTTAAATGTACCTCTTTGGTGTTTTTGATATGTATTTGTGTCTTTACACTCTGTTTAAAGAGGCATATGGGAAAATCCAAGACATACATAGTATTTTTTTTTGCTGACATATTTACTAGATGAATTATAGGACATAGTAAATTTTCACAAATTGGGCAACTTTTATATTACCTAAAAATTTCTGAAAGAAGATTCCTTTGGTTGAGAGATATAGTAAAGATCACCAGTGCCATTTCTATCATTGGATGTGTTGGAAACCAAACTGTGGGCTTTCTCTCCTACCCCCTTTTTGGGAGCCTATGAACCACTAACATGAACCCCAAATGTGTTTCTCTCTTCAAAGTGAATTACTTCTGACAACCTTGGCAGTCAGCTTTATGGATTTTATTGCTTCTTTCCAAATTCTTTTCTTTTATTGTATCATGAAAAAAATTATTACCATGTGATATTGTAAGATTTATGCATAATAAGGAAAACTATCCTAATGATAATTTAACCTTGTAAAATATTCACCTCAAAATATCAGGAATGGTGACAATAGATTTATTTGCCAAGCCTTTTTTTTAAGTTACTAACTTCTAAGAGCTATATATGTATAGTAGCGCAAAATTTCCTATTCTTTTTTCTTACTCCAAGACAAGATAACATCATTAAGTATATTAAGCAATTAGAAATAGATGAGACAAAAGAAGGAAATAAACTTTTACTCATGGTTCATTACTGTTAACTCTTATATTTATCCTTTTATGTTTTTAAAATGGTGGTTTATAACTGTATATGTTGTTTTTAAAATCCTTTTTTCTCCTCTTTATTGTGAAATTGCTACATGTCATTAATGTCAGTAATCATTTATCTAAATTGTCATTCCTAATGGCCAAATAGTGTTCTATTGTTTGGATATGCTCTACTGTTAGGTATGCTCCCCAATCCCCCAGCTTTTAGCTATTATCAAAAACCATGCAATAGTCATTCTTTTAGATTCATTTTTGTCCAACCTTTGATTATCTTTGGATAGACTTTTAAAAATGTCTGAATTGTCTGGGCTAAAAGGTCTCACATTTAACATGCATTAGGTCATGTAATTACAGTCCACAATCAGAAAATCAAACCCACTGCTGTCGAGTTGATTCCAACTCATAGTGACCTTATAGAATAGGGTAGATAAGAACTGCTCCATGTGGTTTCCAAGGCTGTAAATCTTTATGGAAGCAGACTGCCACTTCTTTTCTCCTGTGGAGCGGCTGGTGAGTTTGAACTGCTGACCTTTGGGTTAGTAGCAGAGCACTTCAACCGCTGTGCCATCAGGGTTCCTTGTTACCCTCCAGAAGATTTAAATCAGTGTACTCTCCCACCAGCAGCATTTGATCTCCTATTTCTCATCTCTGGGTATTTGTAGTTTTAAAATAATTTTTATACTGTTAAATATCCTTAATAGGAAAACAATAGTGAATGAAATTTAATCTTTCCTAAATTCATTGAGAAGGCTTATTAGGATTCTTGGTCTTTGGGAAAATTGACAGTCCTGTAGGAAAGGTGCCTTAAAAAAAAAAAAAAGCAAGCTATTACTCCCCTCCCCCTTTTTTTTAACCATAGAATTTTAAACCTAAAGGTGACTTTAGATCTAGGCCAGTGGTTTAGTGTCGTGATTGTGAAATCATTTTAATGGATTTTGACTTTGTTTGGATGAATGTTCTGTTTTAGATGTGTGCACATGTGTGTAAACATATTTACATATATGGATGAGTGTAGAAATAGTGATTAAAATGTGTTTTTGACTCAAGGCCATGGTCAGAAAAGTATGGAATGTTCAGTGATCTCCCCTACACTGTGTTGTACTTTTACATACGATTTATTTAAAAAAGAAGTGTTTTATGATTATTAGCATTCGATTTAGAAGGAATAATTTATTTAGTAGCTTTGCATACTTTTGTTTCACAGGGATAGATGAGGGCTCTCAGGAGGATGTGAGACAGATCCCTTGTATACTCTGAACGTCAAAAGATTATGCTAAATACAAAAACTGATTCTAAGCATGTTTTGTTTACATGCATACTTATTTGCAGCGGCACTGAAAGATGATAGGCTACTAGGTCGGACCTCTCTTTGAATTCCCTCCCTGTCACTTACTGGCTGATGCTTTGAACTAAGCATGAGACCTTTCTGAGCCCTAGTTCTCTTATTTGTGAAGTAGGTATAATAACAGTTTCTACTTCATAAGGTTTTTGTGAGGTTTAAGTAAATATGATGCCTGGTATGTAGTACGCAAAACACTTTGCACTTCTATTTTCGATGCTAATTATTTGAAAATTGGTCATCTGTTACATGTGCGCATATATAGGAGTCTGTGGATGTGGATGAGGTGTGGTGTATATATACCTGTCTAACCATTCACACCTTTTTTTTTTCTTTCAGGGTTTCCTAGTCTTGAACTACTGGCTACATGGCTACCAGATGCCTATGAGAGTTCATTCACAGCTGAACTATGAAGCTGGAATTGGTTCTAGATGCTGGGTAGATGCAAAGCAGCCTAACTCTTCAAGTACTGACATTTCTCACCTCCGATTCCTGGCCTCTATTTTGAGAAGGATACCTTAGCTTCACCAACTTCAAGTAGGACAGAAAGAAGCCCGTTTTCCTTCCCCCATCAATGAAAAAAATCTAATGCTTCAAACGTAAATTGTTCATATAAAAGGAACGTACAGTCTGTTTTACATAAGTAAATCGACCATCAAGAGAAGACTTGACCTCTAATTTATATTGCTTTGCACCTTGGTCTCATATTAAGGAACAGCATTCTTCTTTGGTGAAATTTTGGGTGCCAGACACCTACCCAGAATGTCCAGGGCTTTCCTTTTCAGAAGTCAGCATTCTCCTTCTGACCGTCCTGACTTATTGTATTAGGAGCATGTTGGACGACGGAAAAATCTCTCTGGATTGTTTTAGTAATATTTTTTGGATTACACTTACTTTCTGTACCAATTTCTTTTTAATTTAAAGAACTGTAAGCCAGGTTATATTATCTCCCAGTAGGTAATATAGCTCTTTTCTTTTAACTGTTCTCTGTACCATCTCCTGATATTTGGTAGAGTAACAGCTTTACATGTGTGCTTGCCTCCTAATTTAAAATGCCGTATCTGCATGTAGATATAATGTACATAACAGTTTAACCTCAAGGTTGCTGGAGTCAGGGCCCCCTGTGCCTGAGACACTAATACGGAATGTGTTTTTGCACTTAGCCATGGGCTGGGCTCGATAACCTGTTACTGGGGTTTGTGTGGATTACCTTAAACCCTTCCTGCAGTATTCATATGGCGTTTTTATTTTGTTGTCGTCATTGTGTTTATGTGTGTTTTTTAATGAGAATCTTGTTTTAAAATGTAATTTCTAAAGTTTAACACAAAATTAAAATGTTTTATTTGTTGTGCAGTATATACAATAGAGAGGTACCTTAAAAAATTTTTTTTTTGGGGTGGGTGTTCTTTTCCTCATAAGTACTCTTGAGTACTAGTGGTCACTTCCCATAGTATTCATTTGGCTTCACTGTCAGCAGTCATTATTCTGTGTGTTAGTAACCTGGGAGGGACAAAAGAAGAAGGCCACGATGAGTAGATATTCTAGGTCTAGAATCAGTGTATTCTGGCTGACCTGCAGGAACCACAGGCTAAATCTGGTCAGGGGTCAGCAGGGCCTACGTGCATGTTTGAGCCTGTTTGCTAGGTCAGCCTTGGACCATCTTGGGGTGAAGCGTACTCCTAAGTGGTGACAAAGCCTCAAGCTCATGAATCCCATCCCAGTCATCTCTGGTGTCACCTGGCTGTGGCCCCTGCAGGTTCTCTGAGCCCTGGACTGCTCTGCACCTCAGATGTCTGAGTGACACTGACCATGTGTGGAGAGGACCCTGGCTTCCAGTCAGCTCTCCTCTTGCCTCATTCAGTACTAGATTTTGATTTGCCCCTTGCATTGTTTCCAAAGGTCAAGGAATGTCAGTAACATTTTAAAGGACCAATAAGCCACCTCCTGTTAATTAAGCCTCTTCCCGTGGAAGCACACTTGTATTACTAAAGGGAAGGTTACTGGTCTCTGTTTTGTCCTTTGCATTGAGAATGGTGTGGGGATCAATGTGTGCGGATGTGATTTGTTTATTGGGTTAGCACTGCCTTTTAGTTCCCCCCTCCCTTTTGTTTTTTTAACACATCCTTCCCTCCCATATGTTAATAAATTAATTTCTGTTTTTGAGAGTTTGCGTCTCAAAGTGTAAAAAATAAACCTCCGTTCATAAGGTGGATGTTGTAAGCTTGACAGTGGCTGTGAAAGTGATTGAACTTTTCCCACTCTTCATCTTACAGCTCTCGTATCAAACTGGTTAGGAAAGCCCAGGGAAGGGAGGGAGGGAGAGGCAGTTCTTCTGAAAGAATAGATTTTCTGATGTTTTTGCATGTTTAATATAGAAGTTCCTCTTGTTCCTTGGGAGATCATGGCCTTGGAATATGCACACAGCCTTTGAATTGTGCCTACTAAATTAGAACAGGGGACTTTGACACCAAGGAATTCTGACATTCTGGGATTATAATAGTAATTCCCAGCCGTACTCTGGACTTTATTTTGCTAACCATAATTGAGCAACTGTAAATTACTGCTATATTAATGTTTTAAAGCACTGGGATAGTCTAATTCTAACTTGTAATTAATTATGTTTGCCAATTATCTGTTTGAAATAAATTTGTGTCTGAACAGCTATTGAAACTGTTACATTGTACAGATATTATTCATGACAGCTTTGTACTGTGGAATGTGCTGAATAAAAAAAAGAAAGTTTGACCTTTGTCCAATAAATTGCTAAGTAATGTCAATAAATCAAGTATGAATATTATGCAGTACACCTAATCTGGCTTCATGCAATTGTTACTTCAGCTACTAATTCAAAGCCAATTCTCTTAATAAAGTGTTGCAATACTCCAATGTTCTGTTAAGGAATTTTTCAGAAAACTGTTTGTTATGTGCTATCAGTAATTCAGTGACATACAATTAAAGTTTACAGTTTTTTTTTTTGTTTAATAAAAACAACTGCTCTGTAAAAGGAGGTCAAAGGCAAACTGCTTTTGGCCTATGAGAGCTTTGCATATCTTTCAATAGATAACACTCTGTATGGAGGGATGTATGTGTACATATATTGCCCCTTTTAACATGAGTGGTAGTGTACTATACATGCTGTACCACTCCTTGTCTTTTCATCTGATACCCTTTGGGAGATCGTATCAGTGCAGGTGATTCTATTTCATTCGTTGGCTGTGTAGTATTTGGGTGTAAGGGAGGGTGTACTGTAGTCTGTTTGACAGTGCAGTTTTAGGTTGTTCCTTATCTTTTCCTTATAGTGCCTATCTTCTACATAGTTCTTTCTGTCCCTGCTTGTGCTAAACAAAATGAACTATTGGTTAGCTAATCAGGAACAGCAGCTTTGAACCTGAGCATCACTGCAAGAGTGGGAAAAACAGGAGCACAGGTATGTCGAGCTGGATCTTAACCTCTCCAGTCCTGTGTCCTCCCCTATGATAGGTGGTTCTCAGTAAATGCTAGTTTCTCTCTCCCTGCATAGGAACAGCTATGAATGTGTCCCACCTTCATGATGGAGATTCTAAGATAGGTTTTGTATAACTAGGATATATAATCAGGCTAGAGTGGTGCCGGGTCATTCCAGCGTATTTGTTTCCCAGGTAATGAGAAGAAAGGAAGTTGGACTGTCTGGGTAATAATCCTGTTACTAGTTAGCCATGTGGCAGTACTCCCTCTTGAACCTTAGCTTCCCCATGTATAAGAGAAGAGGGTTTCACTAGCTGAAGTCCTGGAGTACACTTGCCCCATCTCAGCAGCTCTGGACAATCTCTTGCCTTTGGCCCAGTGATGTTAGATCTTAGTTTCCAAGAAAGCTGGAAATCCAGACTATGTAGAGACCCAACTTCTAAAAGTTGGAAACTTTTTTTTTAATACATCACCCTGTCACCCATTTGCCATCTCTGAGCGAGCATGATTTTAAGCACTGGTGTTAGTGACCTGTTGAACATTGTGTTCAAGTTTGGCACCTGCAGTCTGGAGTAACTGAAGAAGTTCCAGAGAAAAGAGATAAATTAAATGTCATTTGGCAAAGCAGCCAGCATACAGTAATCACGCAACACTACCGTCTTAGTTATCTAGTGCTGCTGTAACAGAAATACCACAAGTGGGTATCTTTAACAAACAAATTTATTTTCTCAAAGTTTAGTGTATCCATGTCCCTGGTGAACATCCTAGGACACGTGTCCTTAGTTTGTACCACAGAATTTTCCAGATCTTCTAAGTTCTGTTTTCATTTTGCACAGTTCAGGAGGCCAGAAGTCCTAATTTAGGGTGCCAGCATTAGGGGAGGCGTTCCTCTTGTCTGTTGGCTCCGGGGGAAGGTTCTTGTCTCTTCTGAGTTTCTGCTCTTGGGCAATCTCCACGTGGCTTGGCGTGTCTTCCCCCATCTCTGCTTCTTTAACTCGTTTGTTTAATCTCCCTTATATCTCAAAAGAGATTAACTCAAGACATACCCTACAGTAATCCTGCCTCATTAACATAACAAAGACAACCCATTCCAAAATGGGATTATAACCACAGGCATAGAGGTTAGGATTTACAACACATATTTTTTGGGGTCAGTTTAAAATGATCAAAAAAGGGAGGTGTTTGAAAAGAGGAGGAGGAAGATGCTAAGGGCTGACATGGTGACCAGCTGCGTACTTTTGTGCAGAGATGGAGTTCACATTAAAGCAAGGCAGGATTTAGGCCTAAGATTATCTTGGTCTTCTATCTGAGGAAGCCTCTGAGAGCTGTCTCTGGAGAGGTCCAAAAAGAAGTTTGGGTACCTGACTTGTTCATTGCACAATGCTGAGTCTAATACTTAGTAAAAAACAGTTGCCGTCCAATTGACTGACTCATGGTGGCCACGTGTATCAGAGTAAAACTGTGCTCCATAGGGTTGTCAATGGTTGATTTCCTTTCCAAAAGTAGATTGCCAGGCCTTTCTTCCAGGGTAACTCTGGGTAGATTCGAACCTCCAATCTTTAGGTTAACAGTTGAGCACATTAACCGTTTGCACCACCCAGGGACTCAATAAACATCTGTGGGATGACTGAGTATATGGTCATCTTCATATGCCCAAAGATGGGACCATAGATCCCACACACCAAATGCACTGAAATTCTAATTTGGGGTTTTAATAATTCCATTGGTTAGGTGTAGCCAGGTGAAAGAATTGTGCAAATCATAAGTAGTTTTTTTCTTAGTGCATGCAGGGTAACTTGGAAAGCAGAGTCCTGTAAATGGGATTGTATTGTTTCGTTGCTTTCAACTTTGTGGTCATCTACTCATCCTGTCTCCCGGAATTGCTTGTTTTTATTGCTCCAGGTACACGAGTTATTGCTGGACTGGGATGGGAGAACTTGGGAGGTATGAAGCCAAGGACTTAATCTGTAGTGGGGACATGCTTTAGTAACAGCTTTGAGCTTGGTGTTCTGTGAGATCTCAGTGAGTACAACTTAAGCTCTTTCTCCCCTTCACCACCATCTTTGGATCCAATGGACCTTTACATTCTTGTGGGCTGTATTTGCACTCGCAAATCCCCTACAGCTCTAGGGGTTGGTAGGGAATTTTCTTACAATACCACATCATCTGGACCTTCCTAAGGGGATCTCTGGTCTATTGGATGGTAGAGAGGAAGGAGCGTGAGCCTTGGGACCTAGCAAATCTAGCTCAGGATACAAGCTCTGCCACCTCATGGGGCAAGGGCATTTACTCCCCTGAACCTGAGTGTCCTCATTTAGAAAGTAGGAGTTAGTGAGGTCTGGGCTGCTCGGAGCAAGACTGAAAAGCTGACGTTCTTGGCAAGAGTGCTGGTAGCCACCAGTGAGGGCTGGTCCCAGAGAGGACTTGAATTTGTACCCAGGGCCTGGGCTGTTAGGTGGTTGGAAGAGAGGGAGCTGGACCAGGGCGATAGTGTTTACACCAAGTTATTTTTAAAATTTTGTTATTAAGAATAATTCAGCTTTAAAGGGAGTCAACCTATAATATCCCCCCCTAGGGAGTGTTTCTGGGAAGAGAATAAGACCTAAATTCTACATCAAATATGCCAATATGCTTAGGGAACTGCAACATCTCCAAAATGGACGGGAGAATTTCATGTCCTTGGTGCCCGTGTTTAAGTGTGTGTGTGTGTAGGTGGTGGTAGTGGGCAGGAGAGGAAGGGGCAGTTAACACCAACTACAGCAACAGGAATAAAAATATCTACCATCTAGTTAGTCCCTGGGTGGTAAAAACGGTTAATGAGCTTGACTGCTAACCAAAAGGTTGGAGGTTCCAGTCCACCCAGACGTGCTTTGGAAGAAAGCCCTGGTGATCTGTTTCTGAAAAATTAGACATTGAAAACCCTATGGAACACAGTTTTACTCTGACACACATGGGGTCACCATGAGTCAGAATTGACTCAATGGCAACTGATGAAAAATCATTTAGTGAGTGGTAAGGCTTTATGCATACTGTAATCCTCACGTAACCCTGTATGGTATATATTATTACCATTTTATATTTGAAGAAAATGAGGCTCACCTGAACTTAGCTCTGATTCTGGTCTGCTTTGCCAGTGGTTTCTCCCTGCAGAGCCAGGCCCCATCCTTTGCAGTCCCCGTGTACTAACAGACCCCATGCACATGTCTTTGCTCTTCCACTGCTGTGTTCCTGGCCGGTGTTCCTCAGTCACTAATAACTGTGCACAGTGTGGCTTCAACAATGCGCAAAGTGGAGTGAAGTGCAAGGAGCTGGATAGGATGGGTGTCGGGCCATGCTGAGTTGTCTAGGCTTTATCTTGAGGTCAGTGGGCAGCCACTGAGGGTTTTAAGCTGGGGTGTGACCAGTTAGAAGGCTATTTTCAAGATTCAAGGGAAGAAAACTGGCAGCTCCTCAGAAAGTTAAACACAGAACTATCATGTTGTTTTACCTGCCATCAAGTTGGCCCCCAACTCATGGCAACCCCATGCACAACAAGATTGGACTGTTGTGATCCATAGGATTATCATTGGCTGATTTTTCAGAAGTAGATCACCAGGTCTTCCTTCTTAGTCTGAAAGTTCCACTGAAACCTGTTCAGCATCATAGCAAAATGCAAACCCCCACTGACAGATAGGTGATAGCTGCACTTGAGGTGCATTGGCAAAGAATTGAACCCAGGATAAGACCCAGCAATTCCACTCCTAGATGTATACCCAAAAGAACTGAAAACAGGGACTCAAACAAATACTTGTATACCAGTGTTCATTGCAGTACTATTCACAATAGCCAAAAGGTAGAAACAACACAAGTGCCCATCAACAGATGAGTGAATAAACAAAACGTGACATATCCGTGTCTTAGTTATCTAGTGCTGCTATGACAGAAATACCACAAGTGAATGGCTTTAATGAACAGAAGTTTATTCTCTCACAGTTTAGGAGGCTAGAAGTCTGAATTCAGGGTGCCAACTCCAGGGGACACCTTTCTGTCTTGGCTCTGGGTTAAAGTCCTTGTCATCAGTCTTCCCCTGGTCTAGGAGCTTCTCAGCACAGGGACCCTGGGTCCAAAGGACATGCTCTGCTCCCGGCTCTTCTTACTTGATGGTGATAAGGTTTCTCTCCTCTTTGCTCACTTCTCTCCTTTATATCTCAAAAGAGATTGACTCAAAATACAACCTAATCCCGTAGATTGTCTTGCCTCGTTAAAATAACTGCCCCTAATCCTGCCTCATTAACATAATGAACAGCTCACTCCCAAATAGGATCATAACCACAGGCATAGAGACACACACATAGGATAATTACATCAGATCACAAAATGGAGGATAACCACACAATACTGGGAATCATGGCCTAGCCAAGATGACACATTTTTGGGGACACAATTCAATCCATGACACCATACAATGGAATATTTTTCAACCACAAAGAGAAATGAAGTCCTTATACATGTTACAACATCGATGAACCTTGAAAACACTATGCTAAGTGAAATAAGCCAGACGCCAAAGGACAAATATTGTATGATCCCATTTATATGAAATATCTAGAATATATAAGTGCATAGAGACAGAAAGTAGTGTTTACCATGGGCTGGGAGAAGGAAGGAATGAGGAGTCGTTGCCTAATGTGTACAGAGTTTCTGTTTGGGGTGATAGAAAAGTTTTGGAAATAGTGGTGATGGTTGTGCAACACTGAGTGTAATTAATGCCACTCAATTGTACACTTAAAAATAGTTAAAATGGCAAATTTAATGTTGTATATATGTTGTCACACTAAAACAAAAAAAAAAGATTTACAGGAGAAATGTTGAGGTCAGAATAAAGTAGAACACTGAGGAGATGAGAAGAGGATGGTTTGGAGAAGTACGGAGGACTTAGTTGTGGAGAGAGAGAGGGGTTGAGAATGGCATCCATGTTTATTGCATGTCTCCTATATGCCACTAGATGGGGCTATAGTGGAAACGCCTCACCCCCACACACATGCACACAGCCCCTGCCCTCAGGAAGCTTACATTCTAGCAGAAGAAATAGACAATATATAGTGCCCATCAATACATGAATTAACAAGATAATTTCAGATTGTGATAAATGCTGTAAAGAGATTAAAACGGGCAGTGGGCTGGAGGGGTCTGGGGGACGTTTGCATAAAGACCTGAATGATAAGCAGGAGCTAGTGGAGCAATGAGCTGGGGAAAGAGATTCCAAGCTGAGGGAACAAATACCCAAAGGCCTTGAGGTAGGAATGCCCCTGGTGGAGGCAGCTGGCCCGGAAGAGGGTGGTAAGGTAGGGTGTGGTGGTTGTAGGGGAGGACATACACTCTTCCAGAGAAGGAAGAGGTTTGGGGTGACACTTTTGGTTTTGGACATTGGAGGTGTCTGACAGATATTCCAGTGGAACCAATGTGGGCTGCCAGACGAGAGAGGCAAGTGGGTGGCTTCAGAAGGGGGAAGGCCTAACAATGAGCCCTGGGAATATCCCCATTTAAGAAAAGGGGCAAAGGAGGACAAGCTGGTGACAAAGGCTGAGAAGGAACAGCCAGAAAGGCCAGGCGTGATAACAAGCAGTCTTTTCAGGGGACATTTGACGCTCCCAGAACTTGGACAACCTTCTTTTCCAAACGCTTGTCTCCAAGTTGCTTGGGCCTCCCAGGGAACAATGCCTGTCCACTAATCACACTGCAGGACACCTAATCCCACTTCACACTTCTTCCAAGACAGTAATGGCGAGGGCTCTGGCAGCAAAAACAAAATAGGCGCCCACGCAGAGCCTCCCCGAGCCTCGGCCCTTGGCTCCTCCTTGGGAGAGTTCCTGCAGTCCATCTGCACAAACAGACCGGGGCCAGGTCTGTTGCCTCAGGAATGAGGAGATAAAAGGGACCATCGGGGCTCTTTCCACCAAAGGCGAAAGCATTTTATAGAATGGGCTATGAGTTTTTGTTTCAGGAAATTTCATCATGTCTCCAAGAAGGGGAGGGGAAGAAAAGAGAGAGGGAGAGAGAGAGAGAGAGGAGTGAAGTTAATTGGCTTCAGATTTTCTCCCTCCCTTTTCATGTCGGTAACACGAGGCAGCCCAGGTCAGCCTCAGGTCAGCGACGTTTGGGCTCTTTAGTGCCCCTCTGTGAATACCTCATTTCTGTAATAGTTTTTCCTTTAAAAACAGCTCTGCCTTCTTTGGCAGATGGTGACATTCCATTAGCATATGGAATATTTTTCAAAACACATCCGGAAGCATGTCTCTTATGGAGGAGACTGGGCAAAAGCAAGTGAATGTTTGAAAAGTATGTCGGGAGCAACTCAACATTTAACAGAAGGCTCCCACTACCCCCGCCCACCGCCCTGCCATCTCTCCTGCGTTATGACTGTGACCAAAAAGAGAGGGAGGGATTTTTGCCAAAGCTTAGCCTATTGAGTTTACTATGACCATTACAATACCCAGAAAGAGCTCAAAGTCAGAGAAATATGCACACATTTCTTGGCCTGGAACAGACTTTGCTAAGCATTTGTGTGCGTGCTATCAGAGATGGTGACAAATGCGTTTGTTCACTGAGCACCTATTATGTGCCAGATGGTGTGTGTGACATACATTATTGTCTTTCCTTCTGAAGCCCATC